ACGATTCTTAGATTATTTTATCAACTAACTGAAATGAAAATTCTTGTAATCTTCAAAACTTATTTCTTAATAATCATTCACAAAACATAACAATTATTCTTAGACAAAAATCGTTAAATTAAGTAAATAATTAGTAAAATTGTTCTTTTTATACTTATCACAAACGCCAAAACTAGCGACCACGCCGTGTGTCAACTGTCAACGGAACCGACAGATAAAAATCCAAGGTGTTTTATCGACTGAAACAGCGTGGCGTGCAACAAGAACTAGGGGAAATCGCGTTGTACGGTTGGTATTTTGGCAACTTGAGAGAGATTTGCCTCAGAAGCAACCCCAAGACACTTTAATTTACTCATTCAATTATTTTATTTTGACACACGGCTACGACTAAATTTTTGTCATGTTGGTAGTTGACAAGTCAAATGTCAAACTCGAAACCATGGGTGTAGACCTGAGTTGGGCGTCCACTAAATCAAATTTTCACAATAAAACCACATTTTATACAAGCTTTATTTTACAAATATAAATAACAAAACAATTAACTATTATCCTTCAACACATCTTTTAAAATAGAACTGGAATTCCTGTTCTGGGCGAAATCCGCGAAGGTGGGCAACACCACCTCAGACAAAACACTCGGCGATTGCCTCGGAACACTGTTTTTTCGTACTGGTGTTTCCCCGGTATTACTCAACAAGCTTGGTACCAGTCTTGGTTTTGATTCATTTTCTAAAAACTTAACAAAGGCTTGAGATAGCGATTCCTGGGTCATCCCCGACGTTTGTGGGGTCAAAAGTGAACTCAACCACCCTTGTTGTGGCTTATTCAAATTCAATTTATCATGATCCTGTTGACTAAAATCCAGAACTGTTGCAATAATCTTGAGAATTTGAGTTTGGTCCTTCGTTAGGTTATTATTAGTGGTAACAAACCCAATGACGAGGTTTTTGATTAGGGATTTGTCGACTTTACCATCGGTTTGACTCGAAAGGGCTTTAATCTCGTCCTCGCTTTTCTCAAGTCTCTCCTTTAGCTGCGAAACTGAAACACCAGAATGATTTTCATTAAGATTGGTAGCGAAAAAGTAACAAAACAATTTAAAAAATACAAACTGAACGTTGATAATAAAAGTCAGAATGTAAGTGTTACTCAGGGACCGGTTACTCAAAACCGAACCAGTACCTGATGTAATACTCACACCCTAAACTTTCAACATGCCATATCCATGCCAGTGGTAACAAAACTGTAAAAAATCAAATTATTAAAAGTAACAAAAAGCAAAAAAAAAAGGGTGAAAATAAAACCACATTTTGTCGATCCCATTCAGTAGTCTGAGGAATCAACAAACCTCACAGTTACCAAATGAGATTAACGAAACACAGTCAAGCGTGCAAAAAAAAAAAAACTAAGGTGAAAGTGTAACAAAAATCTAATGAAGCAAACAAACTACGTGCACACATTTATTTAAAATTCATTCAATCAACAATTAATGATGTTACTGAGAGGTCGGTACAGTTGTTTATGATAATATCAGTCGATATTCTGGGATTTCATCAACCCAGAATTACCAGCTGATATTTCACAGACAACCATTGATCCTTAATTAACTGAACTGAAACTATTAAAACTCAAAAACAACAAAAAAATTACCTTGTGATTTTAAATTCGCAATCAAATGTTTTGACTGCTCTAATTGGTCGCTGATTCGTGACGCAGCCAAAAGCCCTTGTTTACTCTCCTCTAATTGGGCTTGAAGACTCACTATTTCACTCCTCAACTCGTCTTGGACACGTTTTTCGGACATTATTTGGCGTCTTATTCGCTCAGTTTCTTTCCCAATATCATTTTCCTTCTCTAAAAAAAAAAAAAAAAATGGAAAAAAGATTTAAAACCTTGTTAAGCAATTTATTCAAAAATGTCAATGTACCTGTGATGATACTAATACGTGTCTTGGGTAAAAGATGTCTTTTAGTCTTTTATTATCTTTCCAACTTAAGAGACTTTTTCTTTACTTCTTCAGTAAAAATCATGTTTGTGACTCCTGATCACTTTCTGTCTATGGATTAAATAGCAATTTTTGTAATCTTCAAAACCGATTTCTTAATAATCAAATTCACAAAAAAAGAAAAAAAAAACAAACTTTAAGATGTAATGAAAAGAACTCTGAAAATATTTGAAAGACACTAAAAATATGAGAGCAATAAATGAAAAGACTCAAAAATTGTAAATTAAATGGAAAGTACGGTATTTAATAATTTAAATATGTGCAATGAAGATTATCCAAAATTCCAAAAAAAGTTTAAGTCTTATTCAACAAGTTAATAAATAAAAAAATATTATTTTTGTTCTTATGTTTATTATCATAATTGTTATTATTGTTTTCTTAATGTATTACTTCAACACTAATAAAAAATAGCAATTTATTCAAAAATGTCAATGTACCTGTGATGATACTAATACGTGTCTTGGGTAAAAGATGTCTTTTAGTCTTTTATTATCTTTCCAACTTAGTGACTTTTTCTTTACTTCTTCAGTAAAAATATCATGTTTGTGACTCCTGATCACTTTCTGTCTATGGATTAAATAGCAATTTTTGTAATCTTCAAAACTGATTTCTTAATAATCAAATTCACAAAAAAAAAACAAAAACTTTAAGCCTACCTTTCTGGAATTGTTCTAAAACAAACTGCAAGTTAGCCAACGCCGCCTCTTGTTTGCTTGCATGATCCTCAGCATCAGAGATCTTCCTTCTTAATTCATCTCTTTGATTGGTGATTAATTGTAATTGGTGTTGTAACGTCTCGACATGCTGATTGGCTCTAATACTAACCGAAGTATACATCGTACTCGATTTTTTCTCTCTCTGTTCAATTTCATTAACTTTTCCTTGCAACTCAGTATTTCTCTCTTCAGCTCTGAGCAACTCCTGAGTATAGTGTTCCTCAACTTCGATCAAATGACTCTGGAGACGTTCCAGTTTCTTGGACAAGTTTTGTTCCCTCTCTGAAGGTTCTGCTAAAATCTTCTGGACTTTGCTTTGTTCTTGTAGTAAATTTTCAGCAAGGACTTCACATTTTTGCCTCAAAAAATTATTCTGATCGGTTAATTTCTCAATTTCGTCAGTTTGGAGTTTCGTAGTGGTCAATATTTGGGTAAGACGTTGAATTTCATTGTGGTAGGTGATGTTTTCCTGGTGTTTGGTCAAAATAACATCTGTGAGTTCGTTTTTTGTAGCATTCAATTCTTCGATTTTTTGCTCCAACTCTTCAAGTTTCTTTAACTTCTCATTTTCTTCTTGATGTTTATAATTCTCTCTCAAACTGATCAATTCTTTATTGACAGTGTCGTACTGTAATTTTAGACTTGTTTCACTCATTTTTGCGTTTTGAAGTTTTTCGGTTAAATTTCTGACTTGACTTTCGAGTTGTTTTCTTGTGTCCTCTTCAAGTAACAATTTCTCTTTGATTACATTAAATTCGCTTCTCATATCTTCATATTCCATATTAATTTTTTCCAAAGACAATTTTCGCTCAATCAATTCTTCATTTTTCTTCTTGTAATTGTCGATTTCTTCCCGTAACGTTTCCATATTTACCTTCATTTCGTTATATTGGTATTCGGTGTTTTCCAAGTCGGTTTTGACTTTTTCAAACATAAAACTAAGTTTTTCTTCTGATGGTTCTTCTTTCTTCTCCATATCGGAGATAATCTTCTCTAATTCGTCAATTTTCCTATTGGCATTTTCAAGTTGTGATTCCAATAATAATATATTATCTTCATTTGATTCGGAAATTGTTTGAAGACCCGAACTGTTTTTATACATTTCCAATTCGTTTATTAACATGTCGTTGTTTTTAAGCAACTCGCTACACTCGCTCTCGTAATCTTTAATAGTCTGCGATTTTCTGATTACTTCCTGACTCAAAATTTCAGAGTTTTGCATCAATTTTTCAATTTCGTGATTTTTCTCAGTTAACATATTTGTCTTTTCTTGTGTGACATTAAATAATTCTTTTTCTAAATTATCACATTTGGATTTCAAGTCTAATAAAATATTCAAAATACTCTCAACTTGATGACTAAACTCCACAATTTGAGGATCCTCATTATTGTTATCAGAATTCGATGTTTCGTTCAAGTCACAATCGACGTATTTTTTCATGTTTTCGGTTAAAATTGTGACATATTTTGTGTGTGTTTGTTCTTTTACACGTTTTAACTCACTTTTTTGCTCTTTCAAAGAACTTACTTGTTGTTCATAACCTTCAAGAATGCTCGACAATTTTTGGAAATTTTCTTTATCAATTTCGCTCTTTTTTTCGAATTCGGTGATCGATTGTGTTACTTTTTTCAATTCCATTACCAAAATTTTGTTCTCCGATTCACACAATTTTAATTGTGCAAGTTGTTCATCGTTTGTATTTTTACAATCGTCTAAAACTTTTTGTAAAGTAACATTGTTACTTTTTAGAACCGCAATTTCATTTTTCAGTGTTTCCAATTCTTTTAGTAAATTTTCACATTTATTGCAAGCCTTTGTTTCTTTCAATTGATTTTTTAACAACTCGTTGTATTTATCTTCGAGTTCGTTATAATCCTCTTGTAATTTATCTTTCAAATTGATTAATTTTTCGGTGTTTAATTGATGCTCAGAATCCAGTAAGTCTAAACTAGATATTAGTTCTTGATTTTCGTTTTCGAGTTCGCTAATGGTTTTTTTCAGGTCGGCAATAATTTTTCCCGAGTTTGAGGGCATTTCCCAAGACCAATTTTCATTAGTTTGAGCGTCATTTTGAGGAAACTGAAAAAGAAAATAAGAATTAAATTATAATACAAAATAATCAGAAAAATATTACTGAATTTTTTTTTCTAAATTAGTTTCGTTTAACGTTTTTGTCTTTTCGTTGAGACTTTGGATTACATACATACACATAATAAAACTTTTTCTTATCAATCAATGTAAATATTTGCTACTCTTGCTATAATTTGCTGTTACATGAAACCTCTAAAAGAATAGGACAAAAAATATACATATTAGTCATTTTTAATATTTATACTAAAAATTCTTGAGCAATATTCTTTTAAAAAACCAATTAACGGATTTCAATTAAAACTAACAAAAATACTCCTATGATTTCTAAAAATAATAATAGTTTATTGGAGTTTTTAATAAACAAAAACTTTGGACCAAATTTTAAGTTAACTTTTGCGAAAATTTTCAGAGCTATTAAAAAAGTGGGTATTTAAAAAAGTTTACAGGCAAATAAAAATAATAGAATTTATCGAGAAATAAAAAATGGTAAGTTAACTCTGGAATTAGTTATACAAATTTTTGGAATTTAATCGAAATTATGTATATATTTAAAATTATTAAAATAAAAAAAATAAATA